ATCTATATAAAATACAATAATAAAATTCTATGGGGAATTAATAAAGTATACGAAAACTACATAGACTTAATAAAAATAATGTATTAATTAGGATGAGTAAGAATAGTAACAGTATTATATTAATTTAATTGTTAATTTTATTTTAACACTTAACTACCTTCGCTATATTACGAAAAACCAATGGCTTCGTGGGGTATTTTTCCACCACAATAAGAAAATTACATATTTTTATACATAAAAAATTTTTATAATTATTTCTTTTAAATATGAACAAATAATAAAATATATATATACTATTAAAAGTCAAAGTTTAAACAAAAAAATCATTTGCATCAACAAACATTAATAACAGAAGTTAAAAATAAAGTACAATACTTGGGTTAAAAATGAAGGTAGTTAAGTGTTAATACTAATTTAAAGTATTAATTGCCCTCAATGACCGCAATCTCATTTTGAAGTTGTAGTTTACAATTAAAAAAGAAAATTATATAAAATCTATAGTGGATTACAGATGCCACAAATAGTTACAAACTATAACATGATCATGTATATAACTCTTACTATATATAGCAAACTACATATAACTATATGAAATATAATGTCATGGATTTTTTTATTTTATAATAGAAACTTATTTAAAAATTGTTTTTATTGCAGTTTTAAATTAAATAATTTTTTTTCGAATATATATATATATGATATTAAGTATATATTATTATGAAAATGTAATGTATTAAAAATATTGTTTGTTAAAAAAACATTATTCATTATTCATTATCAAAGATGTTAATTGATCAAATAATTAAAACACAAATTATATTTTAAAATAGCATTTTGTGATAAAACAAATAGAGAATAGAATAGAATAGAGAAATCAATATTCTATACAAATTGAATAGAAGGTTCTATAAGGTTAAACTTATTGATGGAATTAGCAATTGAGCTTATTAACAATATTAATCTATCGCACTTTGAAGAGGTCCTTTGTTGACCTGATTTGGCATTTGAAGTGGTGTGACTTTCACATTGTATTTATGAAAGGAAAGCATTTTGTCGATGAAAAAGTAAGTATAAAGATTTTCTTCGAAATTCTGAAATAGTCTCCCTTCAGATTCAATAACTCAGCTCTATTTCTCTACACGTTATGAAGTTTTAATAGGACGTCAGTAAATAATTTGTTTTATTAATGGCAGTAATTGCCAACAAATAATTGATTGTAGTTAAAAATAATTTCATTTAAAAAGTTATATCTCTCTGGAAAACACCTCAAATATTGTATATATGATCACAAAAACAATAATAGCTATAACAAAGATTTTTAACAGAATCAAATAAAATTTTATATAATTTTAAGTAAAATTTGTTACTTAGCTTATAAAGAAAATATCTTTTTCAAGTTATTATTATAAAAATAATAAATTTGTTATTTATATAATAAATATTTTTAAAATACCAGTTCTTTTTAGTCTAATTTTATTGCTTTATTATTTTTAAATAAGTTTCTCTTCAAAAATCGTACACTTCATATATGTGAAATTTTTATTAATAATAATAAGTGATAGTGAAAATACTAAAATAATAATTTTATCATATTAATTTAACAACAACAAAAATATTAATAAAAATAATAACAAAAATAATATTAATAACAAAGAAGGTAATAGTAAAAATAATAATAATAACATTATTAAAAGTAATAAATAAAACAACAATAAAAATGTTATAAAAAGCAATAAGAAAAATTAAAATAATAGCTACATTGAAAAAAAAACAAATAAAAATTATAAAAATATTAAGTATAGTAATAAAAATAAAAGTATAATCAAAAATGATATTATTATTTTTAATAATAATAAAATGAGAAATAATAATATCTAATATGAAAGAAAAGAAAATATTTAAATTAATAATAAAAATAAACATAAAACATTACACTTCATTATAAAAAGTAATAATAAAAATAACATAATATTAAAGAAAATACGATTAATAAAAATAACTATAAAAAATATAATAAAAAGTAAAAAGTAAACAAACTAAAATTTGAGATTAAAAATAAAAGAGATTTATTTTAATTCGTTTCTAAAACAAATAAAACTACTGTTTTTAAAAACAAAAAACAAGAATTTAAATAACAATTTAAATAGTATTTGAAGTAAATAATAATAAAATAATAATAATAAAATTAAAAATTTAAATAATAATAATATTGTAATGGCTATGTTATTTGTGAATTCTGTAAATAGAATTTTTGTTATTGTAGTTGACTATATTTCAAAATCTCTCTACAATATTAATAAAAGTAATAATAAAAAATATTATTAAAAGTAATAATAAAAATAATGCTAAAACTTTTATTCAAAATAACAATAAATAAAATACTAATAAAAACTTTATTAAAAATTATAAATAAAACTATAAAAAAAATTGTATTGAAAGTAATAATTAAAATAAAAGTTGTATTAAAAATAATATTTAAAATTATAATGAAAATAATTATTACAACATTATGAAATATAATAACAAAAATAAAATAAAACTAAATTTAAAATTAATTTTAATAAATATCATAAAAATAATAATTAAAATGCTAATAAATATACTTTAAAACAACATTAGAAACAGAATGAAGGATTATATTAAAAATAATAATGATTAATTATATGTTAATAATTATAACAAAAAAAATAATAATGAAAATTATAATAAGAAATATTACTAACATTATTACTAACATTCAATAATAATTGAAATAAAATTAAATTTAAGATAATATGAAATATAATCAGAATAATAAAAGAAATAATTTATTAGGGGAAATAATCATAGTAGTAATATAAATATAATAAATAATATTAAAAATAATGATAATAATAAATCAGAATTATTTGTTATTACGACCAATTTACAATAAGGTTTTTGATTCTCATCAAAAAAAAATTATACTTTTTAATTTGCGTTAAATATTTTTAATTATATTTGAATTTTATCATAAAATATTTACAAAAAAAAGTGTAAAAAGTGTAAAAAAATTAAAAAAAATTATAAATATAATATAAAAAATAAAATTAAAAATAAATTTTAAAGTAATATAGTAATATTAAGTAATATTAAACAAAGTATTAGCTGTGATAAAAAACATAATGGTAAAAATAATATTAACTATATTAATATTAAACAAAAATATATGTACGAGTATTTTACATATATATTCATATATAAATATATAATATGTTTATAAAATATATATATATTTTTTATTTTATATATATAAAATAATTCGGTAGTTAAGGATTTATTGAAATTTTTATATTTCTACTCATCCTGATAAATAACATAATTAATGACACACATATGTTAAAATGATAATCAAGTTTAAGAGTCTAGGATTGGTGTCGGTGTACGTAAAAGGTTATGCTCTGAAATACCCGGAATTGGCATGAATTTCAGATATTACTTCAGATTTAAGTAACTTTTTAAACAAGTCGGAAGTGAAACTTTCTGAGAGATTATTAAAGATTATTATTTTTGAACAAAAATTGCATACAAAATATAATATATTTTTCTTTAATTAAATAACCATTTCTCCATTTCTTTATTCGACAGTTAGGATATGTTATCAATAAAAACAATATCCTAACAAAAGCTTTCACGGCTAATTGGGACTTTAAACCATATCTACCAACTAAAAAGTGAATTTTATATTGCAAATATAGTATTTGGTTTATTCTTAATAAAGTTACACCGTCTACCCATTACCTAGCTCCAGCATTGAAATATATATAGTACAAAATTATGGATGAAATGATTTTTATTACACTAAATAATTTACTTAAATAATGAGTTTAATAGTTTAATTGTTGGAAATACTTTGCGAAGCTTTTCGGTTTCGTAATATGTTTTTTACTTATTATGTTTATTACTTTTTAAAGCAAATATCAAAAATAAAAAAAATAAATAAATATTATATATAAAGGTATATAATTTTGCGTTTCAAAAAATTAAATTATCATTATAAATTAATTTAAAAAATTATTTCAAGTTTTACCTTGGTCCCAATCGAACTCCCTATCCCAATCTCTTTCTCGCTCTCTTTCCCATTCGCGCGCTCTTTCACGTTCCCAATCTAAGTCTCTTTCACGTTCTCTTGAATTTCTATTTCTATTAAACTCTCTATCCCAGTAATCCCGATCCCAATCGCTATCACGTTCATGCTCCCTACCATGTTCCCTATCGCGTTCTCTACTACTCTCACGTTCGCGACTGCTTTCATGTTCACTACTTCCTGCCCTAAGTTCGCGTTCTTCATACTCTTCTGAGTCCACTTTGAAAGGTTTTAGATTTAGTTAAGTAAGATGTGTATATTAAATAGGTAGAGGTGGTTAGTTTTGTGCAGTTTTACGAGATTTTAAAGCGTTCAAAATTTTTTTAGAATTAATTAATTTCGGTAATGGTGCAAAGAAAGTGAGAAAGAGTATCGATTGGTGTTGGTTGGTTGTCAGTCATGGGAATTGGTTAAAAAGAAAGAATAACTTTAAGCATACCGTGTATACAAATATATAAATATATAAATGTCGAAAAATGTTTAATTAATTTACTTTTCGAAAGTTCGAAATTAAATTAATTAATTGCTAAATTATAAAACAAATGTTAATGTGTTTTCAGTGTTAAGTGGCATAATGCCTGGTGCAAAACATAAATCTTGAAATTTTTGGTATTCATAAAAAATCACGTTAAAATAATTATTTTTTTTTCTTTAAACCTATTTATATCTCCAATCAAATTGTTAATATTTCAGAATTTCGCTTAAAAATAATTTTATTAAAGTTTTAAACTTTCTAGTTGTCTAATCTTTTAATGACTTCAACTTAATAATAGTTTATTTTTATGACAAACTATGATGTATGAATGACATCATAACCTTTTTCATATTAATGGTAATAAATGATATCGTAATTTTCATGTAATAAAATGAAATATATTATAACAATTTGTTTTACCTGGTGGTGTTGGACCCATACGACCTTGTTCCGCGGATGGCGAAGCTTCTTGTGATGGCAGAGGTCTTTGTATTGCGGGAGCCGTTCGTATGTCAGGATGTGTGGCTTTCCAATAAGTCTGCAAAATTTTTCATTTGTTATTATATGCACTTATTTATTTAAGTAGGTTTTAATTATTTTAAAGGGTTTACATCTAAATATTCTGCTATGTGCTCACAAGCATCCTCTAATTGATTTTCATCTAATATTACATCGAACATTTCCGGTGGACATTGGGCTAGTTTTTCAGCGGCAACCATTTGAACAGAAAGATTTTTTGCCTGTGACTTTCCACGTGATTTGATTAAACGCTGTAAGACCTAAAAATATATAATGGTTAACATTATATATAACAAAAAATTTAGCTCGCTTATAATATTTACAATTCGAGATATTGCAGAAAATTTATAGTATCAGATGCGAAAGTCATTTTAATTAAAGTTCTGGTAATAAAATCAGATTTCTTTGAACCTGATTTTCGCCAAAAGATAATCATTTCAAAACAGTTTTTAAAAAGTTTTAAAATATATAATTTTATTACATATTTCTTACCACAACAGTCATTTCCTAACATAAAATCTGCTTTTAATTAAAGTTTCTGTTTCACATTTAACTCGATTAGCCTATATGGGAAGTTAGAAGTACATAGTTCCTCACTTGATGAGGTCTTATTTAATATGTATGACTAAATTACTAATACTTCAAAATTATCAAAATAATAGTATTGCTTTTTATCCTCCCTACTTTACAGTTCTTAAGTGATCACATAAAGGTTGAATTAATTTTATAAATATAAGATATCACCACATTATTATATTAATATTATTAATATTAAAGTAATATTTTTCAAGTATTGTATGCAAATCGCTTTTCCTATACATTTTCTATTTCACTTGAACAACCGTGAATTCACAATTCGAAGCGATATTAATACTATGTTCAGATAGCCAAATTTCCTTAATTTCATAAAAATGAAATTAAGTTAATTTCGAAAGTTTTCATATTGCCCCAAATTAAGGAAATCACATGCGTCATGTTTACTAATCGAATGTTAAAAATTACTTGCTCCAAACACCATTTGTATCTGGGAAATTTTAAAAGTTGATTATTATAACTATCAGGATTCCAGGTATGTGAATTATTATTTTTCAATCTATTTTAAATTAATAACAGTTGCATATGATGAAAACATATGAGTAAGTGAGAGTGGGAGATATGGTAATAAACTGGGAGGATAGCATTATATATCTCGGCATCACGTTGGACCAACGATTCACATAGCGTCAACATGTTCAAATGAAAAGTTTTAGCTGTGCCAATATTCTTCCACACCTCCAACCGCTATTCCAAAAAGAACAGAAAAGAACAGGAAGTTAATATATAACCAAATAATTCGTCCATCACTTCTATATGGATGTGTAGCGTTTAGCAAAGCCTAAAACACTACTATTCGCTAGCTAGAAATTGCACAAAGTCAGGCTCTGAAAAGACTTTTCAAGATCAAATGACATTCTCAGAAACCCCAAGACTGATCCGATCAAAAAATACGTAAAGGATAGAGCCCGAAATTATTTGCGAAAACTGACAGACTTACCAACACCGCGTTATCAAATCTCAGAACGGTTACAAGCTCTTAGGGGAGGTATGCAAATCTGAGGTCAATTATTACTTAGTCTGATGAAGTGATAAACAATGATCCAGTTAAAGCGAAGAGAGGGGTTTTGAAGATACCTCGCAGTTAATAAAGAGTAAAAGTTCTGAAGCGCACTGGCCCAAATAGCTTTGACATAATAATAAACCCTTTCGAAATTAACTTAATTTAATTTTTACGAAATTAAAGAAATCTGACTATCTGAACATAGTAATAAATAATAATAATAAATCTCTAATAATGAATGTCACTTATTAGAGTTTAAATAGGATCAGGTTATAGGTTATAGAATCAGGTTATAATATAAACTTGATTAAGTGTAATGTATAAATTTATGGTTAAAGTTCAATTATTTTTACTGTATCTTTTTCAAAAATAGATATTGTTATGAAAAAATTTGTATACATGGCAACTCTGTGAGGTAAACTTTAATCTAATATACAATGACATAAATAAATGAAATATATTTTTTTTATAGAAAATGTTTTGTTTTTCTGTTGAGTTCGTGTATGCGTCTTATGGTAAGAAAATTAATTCAAAAAATTTTTATTTAAATTTTTTAACATCTAAAGTTAATTAACAATATTCACATTCAGTTTTCAATATTTATTGCAGATTTCTACAAATGATAAGTGAAGTCACAGCAGTATTCGCTAATCAACAAATTTTAGTGATAACATCCCGGGGATATCCTAACAATGTGAGTAAAAATTGTCTTGTATCACTATATATGTATATTACTAATGATAGGCGCTTGAAAATTAGAATCATCGTGTTTTTCGGGTAATTCTAGTTTCCCATATATTTTAACATACGGAAGGATTTTTTTCTTATAAAAATTATAAAAAGGATTGCAAAAATGTTTTTTTTTCACAATTGGTTAGTAATTAAATATTATTTTGTACATATTAGTCCCTGATACTCCTTCTGTGTTGAATTCTTGTATTTCGTGCACCTTACAATGACTTTCCAAGACAGAGTGAATAACCTAAGTTTTTCTCCTTTTACAAATATCTTCTAAAACTATTTACAAAAAACTTTAGACGCCATTCAAACGTTTCTGTTAAACACTTGAAAGGAACTTTAGTTTTTTGCTTTACCTATCCCAGTGAAATCAAGAGATATACCTTTTGTATTTTGCATCCTAGAGCCGTTTTTATCATAAGCGCGACATATTTTTTAATAGTTTCCAAATCATTAAAACAAACAATTAGTTTCGTTTTCTTGCCTTTGTATATATGTACTTCCCGCAGCAATCCCTTCTTAGCTATCTTAGCTCAAAATCCATGAACAAAAGCAATGATCACGCTAACATCATTAGATGGTGGTAACTCACTACCAATTTTCAAGAAATAGGTACTTTGATGATATTTCAAATATCAAATATGAATATACTTTTTCAAGAAGGGTAGATATTTGTTTTTGTCTTTAATATTTCAATAACCTCGTTATTGAGCACTTTCCTTCACATTGGCTTCAAAAACCATTCAAAAAGTTAAGTTTCCACATCCATATACTATATACGGTTTTATTTTTCACAAAAGCAAGACCATTAGATTTTATATAGCTAATAGCAGATTTTGTCACTCTGAAATCTTTATCTAAACAATTTCTATATATATATATATATATATATAAATATATATATATATACATTTGTTAGATATAATACTTTTCGATCAATATATTACTCCTCATAACATGTCTTTTCGTCATAACCCAACAGAGCCAATTTTGACGAGCTCATAGCTTTCTGCATAACATGGTCCCTATGCTGAAAAAATTTTTTATATCAATCTATCCATGCAATTTTTGTTCAGATTTTCAAACTTTTATATTGACTTTTTAATTTTGTAATATAATTTTTTTTTATATATTTTATTTTCGCTTTTTCATTCCAAAAAATTCTGATTTGATTTTGTAATTAAATCTCTGAAACCTATTTTAATAAGCCTATTGTCTTTTTTTTAATATTAACAGTAACTCTTAGAGAATTTTGCGGAGAATCTACCTTTTTACTCGTGGGTGTTTTTATTTCTTATCTAAAATGGACGCCGTAAGTTTTTGTATTAAAATAATAATTTTAAATAGTGTCTTTAAATTTTTTTAATATTTATTATAGTTTCTAGAAGAATATTATCGCAGAAATGATCCCAAGACCTTGAAGGATTGTGGTGATAAGTATAAAATGTCAATGTTGTCTGATAAGACTATACTTAAAATCTTTGATACGATGAGCATCAGGGAGCAATTGGACTTATCTGATTCCAGTGACAGACTTGCAAAATTATTTGAAATTTATGGTACAGAAAAATACAAGGTTTTCGATATGAAAACATTGAAAGACATGCACCCAAAACTTGTAACAAGATTCTTTAAAAAAGTTGGGTATCTAATTCGTACTCTGATTGGTATAATTACTTATCACAAGCGCGAGGAAACCATTAGCTATATCGTAAACTACACTACCAAAATAAAGACATTGCGTCTATGGCACTCGGAAGTAAAAGTGGATAATTTACATCATATGTTCCTGAATAATAACTCACTAATTCAACATCTGTCATTGGTAAATTGTAACCTCAATGACTATAGCATTGTTCCAATATTGCAACTTCGTGCGCTTAGAAGCCTCTCGATTGCGTACAATAAAGGCATAACTGGTAAATATTTGAGTGAACTACGTGGGTTGCATCTATTGGATATTTGTGGCTGTGTATTTTTTGAAGCCGAAAAGTTATTAGAGATCGCAAGGCTTGTATACTATTTGCGTGTATTAAATATTCAGGATTGTCATTGTGTTGATGAAAGTTTGATTGATTCTCTTGGAACCTGTGCGCTTGCATTGGAAAAACTTATCATAACTGCTAACACCAGTGAAATATATAAAGCCCTTCCGAAGCTTCGGCCGGTTACAAAATTTGAAATAAAATGCATTGAGCCTCCTGAGCCGAGTTTTTTTAAGCATTTAGTTAGCAAGAAAAGAGAAGTATTAGAGAGTTTAGTCTTGAGACAAAATTCTGGATTGACAACGGAAACTATCAAGATTTTGTCATCATTAGAGAATCTCCGTGAAATTTATTTAGGAGCACGTTGTATATATGACAAGTGTGGCTTAAAACCGTTTAGGAAATTGGGATACTTGGAAAGAATTGTTATTAAGAACTGTATTTGTTTGAACAATGAAGATGTATTATTCTTGATTGACCACTGCACTCAGTTGACCGAACTTCGAATTATAAAATGCCCAACTGTTACAGCACTATTCTTTGAACCGATTATGGATAGAATAAAGCGTAGCCTCAAACATCAGATATATAAATGTTCTTGCGGCTTAACCCTGGGCATCAGTACCTTAAACTCGCAGAATCATACGTGTAAATATATATACAACAATTGTGATTGTGATATGTTCCCTGTGGATGACGATTTTACAAAGATTTCAAATACTATAAATTAATACAAGAGTGATTTTCGAATAGAAAATAATTTGGCTTATATTTTCTAAAGCTATATATATAAATTTATCATCGTATACCAAGCGTATCATATACCAAATGTATTTTTGACTTGCCTACCTTATTTTTTCTTAGCATATATTCACAAGACTTAGCGATATGTAAACCAAACTTAAATTCAAAATTAAAGCAAATAATATTTTTAAGTAACAGAACTTAAGTTTTTTTGAACATTCTAAAATGTATTATATATATATATATGCGATATAATAGAAAATAATCAAGTGTGTAATGATACACATCACGGTCAGTCTCAAAAGACAGAATGTTGTCTCTGGTTTGAAGCGGATGAGACCTCTAACCAAATGCTTTGTGACTGTCCAACTTTGATCTGGATCAGGAAAAGACTGCTAGGTGGATGGTTCGAAGTCCTCTTCCGACAGTCACAAAGCCCAAAATGTTTTTTGCAAAAGAATTTTATCGAATGTTTTATAAGCAATACCTTTTTGCGTACGGCACAGCTGGACATCATAATTACATCTGCTTTATCTGTCGATCCTTTTCTTATATACTGAATACATTGACACTTGTTAAAATCGAGTACAACCGAGACCTACTTATTCAAAACAGTGATTATGAAGCACATCAACTATATTTCTAACTTTTATCTTCAAAAAAGGAATGTCGTCAATCTCGTATAGCCCAAGTAAAGTCAGAATATTGGCACATGCTAAGCATAAAAACGTGATTTTGTAATGTGTCTTTCAATTGCAGCTCTACTCCTCATGACGTGGCCCACTTATTTTTCTGCTCAAATTTTCACTCTATTTGAATTCTATTGATCAATGACTTTGTCCTATTAACGTGCTCAAATTTCTTTAACTCTACCCTAGGCTTATTGTAGTTGGCATGCATCCACACTCTTATTTCTCCCATATACAAAACAAGTCTTCTTCTCATCTACTTTCACTCACACTCTAACTTATGTATTTATATTATAATTGTATTCGTGTTATCTTCCATATAGATCTCTACTGATAATAACAATATATGCACTGTAAAATCTTCTAAGTAACTTTTTCGATAGGACAATTTTTCTCAAACGAAATCTAGAATTCTTTTTTTTTTAATTCTTGAAATAATTAAGTCTTTTGGTCGGATACTCTTCTTGGATGAACCAGACTTTACTGACGACGAATGTCTGCACAAGAGAGTCTTCCCTGTATAGATGAATATATTTTTGACTTTTAAAAAATGACTTTCAATTATTTACTTCATTTATAAAATTTATATAGACACACGAATATTTAATTTTAATTTTAATTAAAATTTAATAAATTAAATTGTACTTACCTTACTACTACTAATTTTTAAATAAACTATTGTTGGCGCTAATGAAGTTTTTGCTAATTGTGACGGATGATTGATTGTATCACAATCGAGTACAACTAATTGCAAGGTTCTTGCCAATTCGAATATGCGTTCAATTTCTTCTTGAACCTTACTTAGACAATCGGATCGACTACTTGAACGTTCCATTATTGCGCGTTTTGACGGATTATTCATAATTGATCGCTTCGCTAGTGAAATATCAGCCATGACGCGCGTAATGATTATTTTACCCTCGAAACGATGTTTCAAAAAATCGAACAGAGCCTTTTGCATCATATCTGTTACTTCGTAACCTTTAAGGCTTGGACCCACTAAAACGACTGGACGCATCGATGGTACCACATCGTACGGTGAGGCTGTTTCTTGTTTTTTAAAGAAGGGTTTACGTTTCTCTTTGTTTGGCGGCGTAGCCAATGGTTGCTTGCCATGACGTCCTGGTCCCATGGAATCTGATTCGTCACCTAATTAATTAGTATCACGAAAATACGCAAACAAAAAAAAGAAAAACGAAAAACAAAAAGATAATGGATTTGATGAGCGAGTTTATGATAGCTACTGATTAACTATGTTGACAGCGAAATATATGCAATTTCGATGTTTATTTATTTTTTTTTATATATATAATAAATATTTTATTTAATATAATTTATTTAATATATAAGTAACCAATTGTTTTAAGAATATTATTATTATTTTTACTTCAATTTTCTTTTATTTTAAAATTTTTAACGTGATTTTACAGATGGAAGTACAAGCATATATATCATAATATCATATATATCAGAAGAATTACAAATTCAAATATATAACAAATTTAATAAAAACATAGTATTTATTTTAATTTATCTTTTCTTAATTATTTTATTATATTAATTAATCGATCGATATTAAAGATCGAAAGTTTGCAAATTGATTCGATCTAAAAGTTTCTTGCGACAATGCTCTAAACATTTCCAATAAGTAGATGGATTCGACAATGAAACGCTACAGATCCTCACTGCTTAGGATTAACATTAGATGAGAGGAGGAAAATTTCCAGTTGTATAAAAAAAATAATAATAACCATAAGTTTTTCTTTCAGAGTTGTAAAAAAACAGCATTAAGTCTGGTTGAAACAAATTGGCATCACTTTTGAAATATCTTGAATGTTTTTTTTTTGAAATGTTATTTTTGTGTTGCGTACAATATGAAAATTAATTAATTTAAATAAAAGAAAAGAAAATTAATATTAGAAGGCATGACTAGAGTTTTGCAACACATTTACAGTGAACGTTCACAATAGACTGATTTTTTAACTTGGTTGCACTGTAACTTCCCTTCCAGCATTTTATGAAATTATTGATCATATTCGAGTCCTCTGCCTGATTAAAATAGTGATAAATACGCTAATTTTCTGTTCAAAAATGATTCTTCTGTCGGAAGAAAATTGTGCCCTATCCGTGACTCTTCTTGAAAAATCTTTTTTAACCCGGTTCTCTAATTAGTTACGATTCATTTTCAAATCGTATTTGTAATCATTTACGAGTCTTCTTACAATAACTCATATCTAAAATCATTTTTGAGTCTTCTTTTAATAGCACATGAAGTTAATCAGTTTTTAATCATCAAAAGTGCTCGAATAAGACTCAGCAGGGTGAGTTTTTTTAAAATAATCTTCCAAATGCTGGGTGGATTAAGACTTAAAATTTTTTGCGAGCAAAATCTAACTCTGAAGATTTTAAGAGCATTGTTATTGCTTCACATGTTTTCCTTCGTAAGTTGCGATTATTTTTTTGCTACTCTGAAAGAAAAAATTACGACTAACAAATATCTAAAATATTAAGAAGGATCTATGTGGCATTGAAAGTCGCATGTACGGTGAATGGATTTTCAAGTCCATTCACACTCTGGTGTGAGTTTCTGTGAATAGTATGATTTGACAATAATCAGTGGACATAGAATATAACTTGCGAGTCTATCGACTGTATTTGCTGGATGATTTTTATAATTTTTGTTTTAGTTTCAAGGTGTTTTTGAAAAAAAAATATCTCTGTTAAAAATATATATTTTTGTAATTATGATGTATAAGTTAATATCACTGATATGGTATTTAATATAAAAATTATGAGAAAATGTTACACTTCCACCTTTTGCCAGTTGAAATTATTCAATACGGTCACATTTATATTCATAATAATATTCTTTTAAATAATATTTTAATACATATATATATATATATATATATATATATATAGATATACATATTTATATATTTTTAATTAAATTAAAATAGGTGTCGTGTACACTTGTTATGAGTCTGGGGCTTTCGTGAGAATGTGATGATTTGTACGCTTCTATTTGTGATTTTGACTGATGTTGAATATTGCAAATAATACGAAACGAAAAACTGTTTTTTAACTATGTGGAAACTTGCTCTTAGATACAAATATTATATATAAATTTCCAATATATATAATTATATGTATGTACATATATAAAATACACACATACAGTTTTTGCTAGACTATGAAAAAGTGACGATTTACTGTGCAAATGTTGACTTCGAGGGGTGATTAAATATTTAAAAAAGTACAATAATTAATTGCTTTTTGATTTCTTCACCAATTTGTTTATGAATTTTTTTCCATACTTCAAAAAACTAAAATAGTTTATTAGCTTTTCTACAATGTATAGCCATATTTAAGGATATCGGATTATAGAATTTAAGCGCTTTTTAGCCAAATTGGTCTTGTAAGAACGAAATAGAAAACACAAACCTGGTTTCTTGCGTGGTGTCGTACTATAAGGATCTTTATTACAATTGATATTGTTGTGGTTGTTGCAATGAGAATCAGTGTCGAACGAAAAAAAGTTTGGTGCAATTTAATAGTGTTTAATACAATTTCTTATTTATATATAGTATAGTTTTTTGTTTTATTTAAGCTAAAAATCATTTAAACTAAAATTTCTATTTATTAAAGCAAAGCAATAATACGTGCAAAAGAATATTTTTGCTAAGTTAGCTAAACTATCCTCAGATGAGTTCATTCTGCAAATCCTTTAAGAGGATTCTAGAAGATTCTTAAAACGATTTATTATAAATTTTGCAATGAGTTCATTATTAAACTTTCTTTTTTATAATCAATAAACCAAATTTTATATATCTATTCCAAAACTATACTAATATTAATTATGCAATGAGTTTAAGAAATTTTTAGGTTTTATCATCTAAAATGCATTCACTGAAAAGGAATTTAAATATGAATATGTACTTTAAAATAAATCTACTATATATTTCCAGTTTTAGTCTCTTCTCATAAACTTTTTTAAATTATAATTCCTTTATATCTCAACTGCTTGTAAGTAACTCCCACATTCATAGAAATAAAATTGTCTACTTAATAACAATTATTCAACTCATGTTTAAACTCAACACACTAGTTGCATAGCATTCCGTTATCGAAGTTCAAAACTCATGTTGATATCCCCAAATACAGATAATTCATCTGGACTAGATCAGCAATAACATATAGCCGTATATGAGATACATATTCCATTAAACAGTTCACTTTGCGAACTTGAATCATATACATATGTTAGATTAGTTTAAGTTACACTTACAATCCTAAGGATTCACTTAGTCCTATTGACCCACTGTGTTACCATATAAGAATTCAAAGATTTTCATTTTGCCAACTTGAACATTACACATATTTTAGATTAGTTTAAGTTACACTTACAATCCCAAGGATCCACTTAGTCCTATTGACCCACTGTGTTACCACATAAGAATTCAAAGATTTTCATTTTGCCATATAAGAATTCAAAGACTTTCTTTTTGCTAACTTGAACATTATATATATTTTAGATTAGGTTAAGTTATACTGGCGATCCCAAAGATCAGCTTAGTCCTATTGGCCCATTGTGTTACCATATAAGAATATTAAAACTTTAAAAACCACCATGAACCTTCGGCAAAGCTTAAATTGAGTGAGAATCCTTAAACTCCTTAAAATACATAATCTAGGTCAGAACTATTTACATTAACAATATAGTTAGTTAATCAACAGAATATTAGAAACTTGATATCAATAAAATTCAAACAAGCTCTTGTTACAGTGAATCATCAAAGTGGTCACAGGCACTATTAAGGTCGTGTGCGAGTTCGAGTAAATTGTTCGAGTAAATAATTGAATATTAACTAAACCTAAAATCTTTGAAATCTTTAATAAAATCAGAAATATGATTTATCAGAGATAAAATTAATTAAAAAGAATCATTTTTTAAAATGTTGATCCATTACTTTCTAAAATCGATATTTCAATTGGCCAGTTCTATACTAATTGGACATACCGATTTGACAACCATATTTAGTAGTAGGTCAGGTTAGGTCTAGTAGTCGTGCTGTTTTTACAACTCAATACAAGGACACATATATAAACATCCCATAACATCAGATAATAATACTTTTTATAAGTACAAAAGTTCGAAAATGGTTTAATACAAACAGTCAAAAAATCGGTGTGATTAGTCTGATATAATGGGTTATCCAAATGAGACGTTGTATATAGCAAGTGAAGACACTCGTTGAAATTTTAAAAAATAAATATAAGTAAATTCAAAGGCTAAGGTAGCTAAGGATATTTACTATTTGCAATATATATCTGACCTATTATTAATGCTAAAGAATGTATAAAAAAATGTATTGACTTTATATCGTACAATTAAAAAACAAGGTCCTTAATTTTTATTATTAGATAAGTAAAAGTATATGTTACGTTAGTAATATTTCTTCTGACATATTCTTTAATGGATTAGCACAAATCTTGTCAACGTTTAATGGATTGGCACAATTATTCGTCAAAATACAAATGTAAGTATCTATTAATGAAAGCAGCAACACAAAGAATTGGTTTTTACTAGAAAATGCCAATATATATGTTTATTCACGCTATAAGCACAACACAAGTCCGATAACGACTACATGTCTCAAGACGTCGTCGACGTCGCACATATCTGAAGGCAGTATTATCGAATGATATAGTTGCAGAAGCTGAAATAATATAACAAATTTAAACTACTTAGAGACTATACTTCTCAACAACACTGTACTCCTCTTAAATCGAAATTAGTACTTTCAAAACCATTCTATAGTTAAAGCTTAATAGAAGCAACAACGCTAACATAAGCCGACGAGTGTCTGAACTAAGAGAACAATTTTTGATTCAATACGAACTGACAATATAGAAAACAGAATTCGATGAAATCACAAATCAAATCTGAGAATGAGTGGAAACATATACATCGTTACTTTATCGAAAAGATTGACCCATATCGTCATATAGTCTGAATAAAAATTATGAATACATACTCATGTAATACAGAAAAGGCAGAGTGACATCAAGGTTGGTATACACTGGTTGGTATATACTGGATTAGTAAGGAGTCTATTGCTAAGACTTGGAAAGTCTGCGAGAAAAGTTGTTGGGAAAAAAACTTGTTCTTATGGAGACACAATACAATGTAGGTAAAGATTTACCGTGAAGTATACAACCAAAGAACGATAAGGAAAATCATATAGGTTTAATATGCACAACAGAAAACGAATATAGTCTCCCACATAGAAGAATTATTGAAGAAAAGAAAGCATCCAAAAAGAAAAATAAAAATCATCACAATATAGTGCGAGCTTCCCACTGCCGATTTTAAGGAATAAATTTCTCTTAAATCTAATTAATTTTAAAACTACTTACAATGTGACAATAATTAAGAAGTTCATTAAGGTAATTTGGTGATGTAAGCACTATTTCTGAGTACATTGGATCCTTAAAAAATTTGTGATGCTATAAATCCAACAAAAGTTTTCTTCAAAACAATAACTACATATAACTATTTTATTTAATTGCAACTTTACAAAAAATATTTAAAAGATTTATTATATATATCTTAATGGAAATTGTTTATTTTATTTTATTTTATTTTAACTCATTGCTGGTATTCATGCAGTAAAGTTTAGTATGTTTACGTGTAACCTGAGAGTTTATTTTATATTAGAAACTATTCTACAATATGAACTCAGCTACTTTCTTTTATTCTTTTGCATTTTAATATCTACACAACATTTTTTCTAGTATCTAACTATGTATAGTACAATATATAAAGTATGTTTGATGCATAAAAAACTAAAAATTAATTAAAAAAAAAAAACAAATTAATTAAAAATTAATTTTGCTACTCAATTCTTTATCCTTGGATTTCCTTGAATTTCTTGCAAATGCCAAAAAATTGCTGCAAACATAACTTTTAATATTTAAAATAAAAAACTTATATAATTAATATACAAAAATATTAACAAAAAAATTCAAACTTTTTATAATAGAAATTTTTGCACTGGTTGGGTTTCCTATGACTAAACTAAATCGCTTTATCTGAATTTTTATCTTTCACTTTAAAGAAATTTAAGGAGAAACTTGTTTAAACAGAATATAAACTAGTGCTACCTGATGCTGTTTAAGCTATTCGACGATGTTCGAGCTACTCGACGATGTTTGAGCTACTCGACGATGTTCGAGCTACTTGACGATGTTCGAGCTACTCGACCAGGTTCGATCTACTCGACGATGTTCGAGCTACTCGACCAGGTTCGATCTACTCGACTAAGTTGAGCTATTCGACCAGATTCGATCTACTCGACCAGGTTCGAGCTACTCGACCAGGTTCGATCTACTCGACTAAGTTGAACTATTCGACCAGATTCGATCTACTCGACCAGGTTCGAGCTACTCGACCAAGTTCAAGCTACTTGACCAAGTTCGAGCTACTCGACCAAGTTCGAGCTACTCGACCAAGTTCGAGCTACTGGACCAAGTTCGAGCTATTAGACGAGGTTCAAGCTAATCGAAAATATTCGAGCTACTCGACTATATTCGACCTGCTCGAATAGAATATGCTTATTGTTACTTTTTATATTCGTCTTTTTTATAATTACGATGATTGAATACAATATAATGGTTGAACATTTGACAGCACTCGTATAAAAAATTAAGTTTTATTATCAGATATATCAGATATATCCAGTAGAAAAGTTTGTAGAACTCGATCGATAATAACGGCTTTTAGTTTTAATATCAAATTTAAACCAAAAGAAAAAATCCAACTACAAATCCATACAAATCGATGAATTCTTAATTGAGTATATAAAGTCCGATTTATATCTCATATACTGAGAGAAAGTCGTCTTCAATTTTAGTTTTTAAAAGTCCACGTTTTTAGTTCAAGATTAAAGTTCTACATTTCCTCAGAATTGACCCTTTCTAACTGAAACTTAATACAAATAATTTGGTATTGAAATCTCAATTTTTTTAAATTGTGTTTTAAAAACTGAAAAATTGTACTACCTTCAGACAACTACTATATATATTATATATGAAAGCAAAAATAAATTTCAAGTTTATTTAAAAAAATTACTACTTCAAATATCAACAATTCTCACATATTCAACATCTTGTAGTTTGAAGTCGTTACCGTAAGAATTTTTTGTGTACCGAGTTTTGGTACAAAGTATTTCGGTCTCAAAAAATTAGAACAAAAATAATTAAATTAAAAAAAAATTTTTTTTAAATAAAATAAATTAAAAGCAAAACAAATAAATTATAAATAAGGACAATGAATTGTGTGTCATACCAGGTGTAGGGGGTGTGCTACCTCGTGATGGCTCCGCACCTGCTTGTCCTGTACCTAAATTCCCGCTTGAAGATCCTTTTGTGCCATACAGTCTTGAGGGTCTGGTTTGGTTCTAAATTAAAATTAAATTAACATTTCTTCTATTTTTTTTAGTGCAAATACATTTAGAAGTAAGTACTTACCTGCATACGTATGTGCTCTAGCTTAACGGGGCTGGGTATGAATCCCACATCACAGCCTTCCTTAACCAATCTACCGATCCACCAGTTATTGTCGTATTTTTCTTTGATGTGCAGAAATTCCCTAACGTCGAATGAGACTGCACTTCCCTGAACCGGCGAATCGTCGTCAATTGTGCCATCATACGAAACGTTTGTTCGCACAGCGAACGCAACCGGTTTACTCTTAATGAAATTAATATTATAAATGTTAATATATTTATATATATAAATATTTATATATATATAAAATATAAATAATATCATTAAAAATATATATGTATGTGACGTGTATGTATTTACTTACCCTCGCTTTATCCAACTGGCTTAAGGCCTGACGTTCCTTTTCTCGCCGAAGCGATTCTTTTTCCTCGTCTAGCGACAGATCGGATGAGGGTTGTGAGTAATTGGAATCGGCAGAACCCTAAAACAATAAATTACAAATTTGAATTATTTAACTCATATACTAATTAAATTTAATATATATATTTAAATATAATTGTAATATATTTGTTGTGATGATTTTCATATGTACTATAAATCGAAAAGTTCCAAAATTTCGAATTATTTTTCAGAAATCAATATCAATATGTTAATAAACCACATCAACTGATAACTTCGAAAACCTCCGACGTTGACATAAAAATGCTTAAACATCACTTTAACTTCATTTCACATATACCATATTTGCCAAATTTAGCCTCTAGCGTGTACTTCCCGCACTAAACCATGCTTCAACGGTAGCGTATTCCTGTAAGTGGATTGTGCGAGACAAAGATGATATATAATCTATTAATCAATTTCTATGGCTTTGTCCGGGACAACAGATGAAGCGACATCAATATGCTCGAGATCGTTTCTTTACTGGTCTAATAGATTAAATAAACGTAGACTTGTCGAATCTGCTCAGCTCTATTTAAAACGCAAAAGCATTTAACAAGAACAATTGCAAGAGTAACCTGAGAGATGTTCTGATACTTATATCAGCACACGCCCTCTTAGCCTAAACTAATCAACCAATTAACTAACCAAACCAATCCTGTGGACTAACCAATTTCAAACACTTGACAACTTCATTTATTGGATTTTATTGAAAATGTAGAAGATAATTAGATAAGCTCCAGAACTCACAGACTGTGACTTTTTGTATATATATACCTATATACAAAACCAGAGAACTGCAATGAGTATTTGAATCATTAACTGTGTTTTATTTATATGCATTTGACTCATTTTTTTTTTTATATATTCGACTCCACCTGGTTCATACATACAACTGACAGGGCTTATAATGGTTAATATGATACTCATAAACACAGACATTCGACACAAAAATGTTGTAAATGATTTATCAATCATTCATGAGTATTACGTCACAGTTGGGAAAAATTTACTTGTGTTGTATACTGTACTCATAATTTCCTACTACAACAACCCCTAATTTAATGCACATATAATATTTAAGAACACAAACAAAACAAAACAGAAACAGCGCTCGCAAAATTTTTACGCTACAAGTAATCGAGTCATTCATACTCAGCTGAGTATATGTGTACTTATGAGTACTTATGAATCATTTCTGTGGCGAATATGAATGCATACAAGTATTGTGCGTGAAAAACATTTATACGCATTTATATTTGGATTTTTGTGAGTGTACTCTAAGTGTTAATATTATGACTCGTTGCAGTTCTCTGTACAAAACACATATTTTGCATATATATATATGTATGTATATAACAGAATCAAAATATTAAAAAGGATGATTAATTTATTTATTTAGTTTATTAAAACTAATTGTTTTAAAGTATTTTTATATATGTAAGTAAATACACATTATTTATATATATTTGCATGTTTATTAAAAAAAATAGAACAAAAAGTTTTGACAGTGGTGGGATTCGAACCCACGCCCTTTCGGACTGGTGCCTAAAACCAGCGCCTTAGACCGCTCGGCCACACTGCCTTCTAATGGATGATAATAAAATTAATATTTATATTATTTTAGCATCCTTATAAATTAATGAATCGTTAGCCGTTTCCATATTAAGCCTTTTTTCATGCATATTGAAACAATTTCAACACATAATTTTTACTCACCTATAAATAAATGATATACGACACTAATTTTAAAGACTTTTAGCAATCACGAGTTTTCCCAGATTTTCAAAGTCAGTCTACAGACAAAAAAAAACGGATACCGAATTTTTTTCAACATAAAGTAGATAAAGGAAGATTTAGTTTTATATTCCATATATATTATTTATTTTAGGATCGGATTATTTTAGGTTAGGATCGAAATCTATCATATATGTAGTCTATCCGCTTCAACATATATTATTTTTTTGCACCTAATATCAGTCTTACCGATCTTTATTTGCGCTACTTCCCATTTAGAACTTTTAGAAAATTCCCTTACTCTCTATATAATATGCACAAACTATATACGGGATCATGAAGTATTTATTTACTAATGACAAAACGAATCTTTTTTCCTTTTATTATGTTGAGGTTAGTTGAGTCAGTGCACCTGAACACTTTTACTCTCTATTAACTGTGAGGTTTCTTCAAAACCCCTCTATGCGCCTTGATTAGATATTTGTTTATTACCTTATCGGACTAAGCGATAATTGACCTAAGATCTGCATACCTCCCCGAGGAGCCTGTTTTCCTTTTACTGTATATAAATTATTAGTAACAGTTTCATGCACGTTATATCTAGCATCATAATGAGTTATAGACATATTGGGGTGAACGACAAAACAAAGATCTATGTGTTTGACAAAACTTCACTAGAAAGGTCATATCAATTCTAGTAAACGAACTAATTTTTGGAGATGGCAATAAGCCGTATTCTCTAGTTATATAGTTTGACATAATCTTAGTAGATTTGTAATATATGTCAATGGATATGATTTTACTATCTTCCTCATTAAAGGTATAAAATTGTCATATTATTTTTTTTTAACTAATTTGAGGGCTCACTAATGTAAATAATTGTATAGCTTTCTAAACATTGTCTTTGAATCCAGACTTTTTGAGAAGCCAGTGGGTTTCAAGGAGCATAACATTTCATATACATAATTTTATCCAGAAAAAGTAGTATCAGTTAAAGTTTCTACAAAGTGAGGAAAATTAATTCATTAATTCAGTTCGGGTCCATATTATTACTCATATTTTTGAGTTTACAAGAAAAATATTTTCAGAAAAATACTACGGTCCCGGTTTCCCAAGAATGCTTATTTGATAATGAATTTTAAAGTCAAATTTTTAAAATAACACAATAGAAACTTTTTACCAAATATAATATAGTTTAGTTTCGATACATAGCAAAAAACTTTTATTTAAAGACTTATAAGACCCAAATTTATAAGTTTAAGCCTCGATATCTCAAAATATCAAAGCTGTATGAAATATCGCGTCTTAGAATATTTGCTCTAAATAATTGACCCTACTAAAATTGGTTTCTAAGTTGGCATATCTCTATGTAATCGGTATCGTATCAAAACAAACATAAAATATTATTATGGATGTTGATACGTATATATCTATCAGTGCTCCTAATCGAAGTATTAAGAGCTAATAACTTCTGAAAAAAGTTTTATAAAGAAGCATAACATATCTTCTTCGTTCCAATTTTTAAGGGATTATTTTATATTAAAAATAAAGTACTACTCTACAAAAACAAGCTTAAAATATTTTAGAATGGTTTTACATGTACTAAGTAGATCGTGAGGAATGACGATCTACTTGGAGTTTTAAGGAAAAACTTGATCACAAAGTCTATAGGAGCCAAGGCCTTAAAGCATTTGCAAAGAAGAAGAATATAAGAAAGAAACGCTACGCATTCTCACTGTGGACGATGAAACATGGGACAAACATGATGAGTTTTTAATAACAAGCAAGATTAACAGAGCGACAAATTCAAATATATGATGTGACATGATGTGATACCAACTCCATAACATTTTAGTCCAACATCAGTCGTAGTGTCGTAGTGGTCAATAGAACAACTAACATAAGCTGTGAATATACAAAATTTTTGAAAAAATTTGTTTTCTGGGTGTGAAGCTTGTGTACTTAAGCATGGTAAAGCTTACTTACTTACTGTAGTCCTTTTAAAACCTTTACTTTGTGGTAAAGTTATAAGGGGATAATGGATCAAGAATTTAAGTATAATTTTTGGATCAGTAAGAGCATGTTCTTTTGTATTAGATACAATTATGAGCCCAAACATATGGTGAGCAAAAATGAGATAATGGTTCGAATATATAGGTTCAGCAAATACTCTGGTTGGGACATGTACTATGCTGACCGGACAATGAAATCAATATCGGAATATTGATTTATTGGAACAGCAAGAGGAACAGTTCGAAAGATGTGGTTTAAGATTAATTTGAATATTTCAATGTGCGAACTAACGACAAATAGTCGTTGATTCACTATTAATATTAAATATTAATAGAGCTTTCGTCTACCCACGGTTGTAAGACTAAGAGTATTTTATTGTGTAAATATATTTGTTAAATTCTGTTTAAATAATTTATGAGTTCGTATTACTCGAAGAAAAATAATTGTTTATTAGCAACTAATTAGTGATTTTAATTAAGATTCTCATTAGTAATTATAAATTTTGTTCAAGTCCTTTCAAGTGCAAAATTTAATTCTTATGTCTAGAATTCCTTGCTATTCACTATAGCAATTATTTTCCTGAATTATGTGATACAATCAATTTCATTTATTTCTTATTGAGAAAATGAATTTTGCTTTTTCCATTCACACAGTAAATGGCAGAAATTTATTTCATTCATTTCAAGTCAAGTAAAAAAAAGTCTAGATTTAAAAATAAAATTCCTCATATTTATTGCAATCGGGTAGGTGCATTGAACTTGTATTGAAATATAAACTCAATATTTTCAATTAAATTAAAACTAAAAATGAAAAAAAAAAAAACACGAGACGAAGGACTCTTCTCCACATGCTGAGAAAAATCTTACTAACATACAAGCAATCTCCTGCAAATGGAATTCTTACGAAATCTTTTTTCTATTCGTCGGTACGTAGACAAGAAATGGAATACTTAAGTTTCTTGAAAATTCATTGAGTAGGAAAGTGTCTTGGCATATGGCAACTATAATGTCTATAGTATGTACATCACACAGAACTTACACAAAATTTATTCCTTAGTTCAGCAGCAAAAATACGTGTTTGCTGAGCACTGAAGTTAAATGTTTCATTTGTGTTCGGTTGTAGTGACTGCATTTCAATGGAAAACCATTCAATTATTATTGGCATATATTTAAAGTTATCTTAGACGAATAGGAAGCTACCTTGGATAGGAAGCTACTGCCAACTGTATGCTTTCATCCGCGATGCCAAACTCTTGTCTTAGTAAAAATATGCATAGTGAGCATTTCTAAGATG